ATGTAATTCCAAATTAAATTGGATGTAAGAGTAGAACAAACCAGACTTCACTCTGCTATCTCCTCATTGCAAGTTTCAAAAAGTCTAGTACAGCTGTATGTCTATTTGTGTGCTTCATTTCTCAGGCAAGTACTGGAACTAGTAGGTTTGGTTTTTATCTTCTTCTCCCAAGTATTAGTTCATTTCAGCATCCTCTGAAGGAAATCAGTCCAAAGGCCATTAGATTGGAAACTGAAATTCTGATTTATTTCAAAAGGAAGAAATTCAACTATGGAATACTGAATCCCTTGCAGCTGAACAAAAACAACAGTGAATCAAGTTATTATCTTGTTATTTTTGCCTAAGGAGCATAGAGAAATATGTGTATTTCAGGTGTCTAATTTAACATCTAATTGAAATCTTTTCTGGAAGCTCTCTGGGAATAGAATTTGTGCTCTATTAGAAAACTGCCAGTTTTCTTAAGATTGCCCATGTGATTTACTCAGAGACACCTCTGAAGGAAAAATCATTTCATTCACATCTACCACAAGTCCAAATTAAAGAGGAAAGAGCGCACTGTTCAGATTAATAACTGGAGCATTTTGCTGGAGGCCACTTTGCAAAGTAACTTTGTAAATTAAACACCCTAAATTGAGAGTTTCAAAAGTATATTAATAGTTGGCAATTCTGTTCCTTTTTATTTAATCTCTGTGCAGATACATTGATTTAAAAGCCTCGATTCTGTCCTTCCTAACATCTATTTTTACATAACTCAGAGTAACCTACACTTCCCTTGTTTAAATGACATAAAGGGTTTTCCCCATAAATAAATACTGCTGAATGTATTGTATGTTCAAGGGTAAACAGACCAGCTCAATAGCCATGTGGAAAAGATAGAAAAAAAATGTGTGTAGGTAAAGTACACATGAATATAATGAGCTAAAATACTCATAGAAAGGCTTGGCTAGAGGGTAAGGCACTGGGGTGAGACTCAGAAAACCCAGCTTCAATTCGTGCTTTTTGTCACAGATTTCCTGTGTGACCTTGGACAAATCGTTTAATCTGTTGTCCACCAAGGCTTGGACTGGGCCACCAGCTCTCCTGGGGCTGGGAACCAACCATGCTCTGGGGCCTACATTCCCTCCAGGGCTGGGAGCCCACCCATATCCAAGTAAGGCTGTGGCCACCCACAGGTAAGACTGGAGCCACACACCACCTGCCCTCTCCCCATTCTCCAGCTGGGGAAGGCTGGGCCTGCTGTCTCCCCCTTCCTCAACCCTCCCCACCGTGGTCGCCAGGGACAGGAAAGGCTGGGCCCACACACCCAGGCTCTCGCTCTCTCCCATGCTCCAGCCAGGACTGAGTAAGGCTGGGGCCGCATGCCGCCCATCCTCCCTCTCCCGGGTTGCTGAGATGCAGAAGGGTGGGTCCCTGTACCACCCACCCTCCAATCTGTGATCTGGCATGGGCCAAGGAAGCTTGGGGTTTCGAGACAGGTCCCGAAGTTGCCAGACTAGAGAGGTTCAACATATATAATTATAAGGGGAAGTTCATGTGCCTAAAACCACTGAAGAAAGTGGAAGCAAGTTGTAGCCAAAAGTCATTCATCCTTGTTCTCACTGCATTTAGAGAAGGATAATTTTCAGGGTGATGAACATCCCTTTAACAATTAGACATACTTACATGTACTTCACCTCATTAAACACATTAACTGTAGCCATTTGCTGAAAACTACACATTCTTCCAAGTCCTTCACACTTTATGTCAGGGACACCAACTCCCCTTCAGCATCCTATTAGTAGTTGGGTGTATTTTCAGGGGTGGGGAATGGAAAAGCCGGATCCCAATAACATAGCACAGAATAAGGTACTGCTCTCCTCCAACAGCAGTTTCGATGGGCTGGGATGTGTTTGGGTTGGAAGAAGAGCTGGAGGTGATTGTGCTAATTTGAACCTCTAGAAATAATCTTCCCCCTTGTCCCATGGCAGGTTCCTTGCTCTGATAAGATTAGGACATGTTTACCAAGGGACTGAGTACTTGCAGCACCCACTGACTTCAACTGCAATTGTAGAAGCTCAGCAACTCTGAAAATGAAGCCCCAATTGTATTGTCTAAATGGAAAGACATAGGCTTGTGTATCATTTGAGGCAGGAGCAGCTTCATTTTGTAGCTGGTAAAGCACTAAGCATGTTGACTCACTTTCACATCCTTCCAAAATGCATGAACCTTTCCCCACTGTCCCCTGTAAGCAGTGCCATCCCTAGAGAGGTGTGGAGCCTGGGACAACTCTCCCTCTGCTGCAGGCCCCACCCTCACTCTGCCTCTTCCTCCCCTGCCCCGCCCTCACTCTACTCCTTTCCCCTAAAGCACCACCACTGCTCTGCATCCACCCCGCCTCTTCCAACCCCTGCCCCATCCCCTCCCACCTCCACTGCACGCCTTCTTCCAGGTCCCCACCCTGAACAACATGACCTGGGGATCATGGAGGGGCCGGCACTGACCCCCTGCAATCACCCACAGCAGCAGGAAATGGAGCACCTCAGGCTCAGTCAGCCCACTCCCCCAAGCCCGGCTCCTAGCCACATCACATGAGGGAGCAGAGCAGCTGAGGTCAGGGCATTCCATTTCCCACTGCCGCAGTGAAGTGAGGAGCCAGCAGCCTGCTCTGCTATGCCCTTGCCAGGGCCCAGCTGCAAGGGCACAGCAGAGCAGGCTACTGGGTTGCTCCACTTTCCACAGTTCCCACCACTGCTGGTGAGTACGAGAGTGGCCCTGATCACTGCTGCCAGCCCCCAACCTCCTCAGTAATCCTCCAGGCTGCTCTGGGGCCCCCCAATTATGAAGGGCCCAGGGTGGCTGCCCAGATCCATCCAATGGATCTGCCTATTAACACTCAGTTTATTTCAGGTACAGTAGAACCTAGCAGTTAGAACGCCTCGTGAATGGAGACTGTTCATAATTCTGAAATGTTATGGTTGTTCATTCAAAAGTTCACAGTTGAACATTGGCTACGTACAGCTTTGAAACTTTACTATGCAGAAGAAAAATGCTGCTTTTCCTTTTCTTAAAATATAGCTTATGTTTAACACAGTGCTGTACATTGCACTAGTTTTGGGGAGATTGTCTTGCCTGACTATATATTTTCATTTCAAAATGAGGGGTCAGTTTGTAACTCTGGTATTCATAATTCTTGGATTCTATTATGACCAAACTGTTCCTCCAATAGAAATAAATGCTGTCACAAATTGGATTTTCATCTTCTTCTGATAAGTTGTAACTTCTAGTGTCATGTACAGGCTGGACCTCCCTTAACCGGGACTCTCTGGTCCGGCAACATCCTGGACCACAGAGCCCAAGTATAGGAAGGTTGGGCTGTGGGGCAGCAGCGTAGTGGCATGAGGGGGGGGAGAGGCTGGCGACTCAGTTGGGACTGCCATGGGGGGACGCAGAGGGGTAAGTGGTGCAGCGAAGAGTTCTGTCCCTGCAGCCAGGAGGTATCAGAGATTGGCAGCAGCAAGGGAGCTTGGGGTCCAGCAGTGGCTG